CCTGTTCCAGGCCCTTCAGAGGCTTGAAAAAAAAAAAAAAAAAACCCACAAACAGAACAGCCCTAACCCCACTCTGCCTCTACTGACAAGTGTGTCCATTGAGCTGAAGTGCTTCCCAAATGAAAATGTCAGTAATAAAAAATAACCCACTTCTCGTTAGTGAGAAGGTGGTGCAGGCTCTAGTCCAAACACTGCATTTGGTTGCCTGTAATCACTGCAGTCAAGAATCTGTGTGAGATGATGGCCTCATTTTGCTTGAGTAATAAGACACATGGCTATAGAAAAGTTCTAGTTTTAGAATTATAATTTAGCATATTTATAAGTAACATTAAACTTGTACGTTCCTAATGTACATTTTTCCCTAGGGCTGCTACTTTTTCATACATGCAAATCCTTTTGTTCCACAAACATCATAATACAGTAACAGTCTGTAACCAAAGAGGAGAAAAGTTACTACCCGCATCTCCCTCTCCCCCTGGTGCCCCAGTTTTGGACAGTGACCAACACTGCAAAGCTGCAGCTTCCTCAGCCTTCCCAGCAGTAACTCTGCTGCTCCTGCATGGACCTTGTCTGTAAATAAGGAACCAGCAGTCTCTTGTTCTACCACAAACATGGCCAGCCAGGACCTGCTTATAGCAACCCGTATCAGGACTACTAGCTGGGCTGTAATTTTCACATTGCAAAACAGGAGAGCGCAGTCATCATCTATGGATTGTTTACTCCATTTTAAAGTATTTATTTAAATTAATAGGCCAAAGAGAGCCTCTTTGCAGGCCAAAGAGAGCCAGAACCTCTCCCCCACATGCAGACATGCCATATAGGAAATTATAGCCATTTCCCAGCTTTTGCTGCCGGGGAGGGAGACCCTTCTGTTTTAACAAACCCTCTTGCTTGTTCCAGAACCACTTTGGCTTTCTGGACGGCGGCCACTACACGGCGTTCTGCAGGCACTCAGTCACCAAGAGCTGGTACAGCTTTGATGATGCGCAGATCACGGCGATCCCCAGCTCCTCCGTGCAGACTGCTGCAGCTTATCTCCTCTTCTACACCTGCCAAGCCTTCTCTGCACCCACAAAAAGCCACTAGCAGTGAAAGACTGAACAGTGAGTAAGCCAGTGATCCAAGTTCATTGGTAGCATTTACTCAGTCCTGTTTCATCAATAAACTACAGTATTTGCATTACTGGATAATCTGCTGTGGTCTTTTAGAAGGTAATTTCTATTGCAAACTCTGGAGTTTTGGCTCTCAAGCCCACTGAGGAACATAGAGCACTTCCATTTGCCTATGGCCCAGTATTTATGCTTTCCAAAATTCAGATGTTCCTCAGCAAAAAAAAAAAAAAAAAAAAAAGAAAATATAAATGCTGAGTCTACAGAAGCACTTGATGCCTGAAAAATCTTGTTTTTCTATTATTTGAATTAAGGTCCCTTTCAGAAGCTTACAGTAGGCTACTAAGGTGAAAGCACAGACCCCTGGGCATTTGTTTCAGAAAACAGGAAGGGATGAAGCAATCACTAAAGACAAGACAGAAAAAGATGCTATTATACCCGTAATACTCATGTTGTTTTTGTTCCCCCTAGCATCTCTAACTCCTTCCCAGGCTGCAAGCTCCTGGAAAACAATCAAACCTGCTCTTAATTCCATCAGTAAAATATACATGTATAGATAAAAGCCTAGGATTTAAGATTTAGGAAAAGCAAAACTGACCCAAAACAATATCAGAGAAGTGCGTAAGATGCAACTATTTGTCTAAAAGTGCATTAGTTTAGAAAATGCATTCTTTTTGCATCTGAAGCAACTCTGAAGTTTGTGAACAGGAGTTAGACTGTCATTATGTAGAATTATGTAACTATACAAATGGTAGTAAATGAAAACACATCTAAATGTGTATTTAAGAGGATATTATATTTTTAAATAATTTCTTCATTAAAGTTTTTAATGCATGTGTACATGAAATATTAAAAATTAAAAAGGAAAGTACACAAATATTGACAAAAGCTAACAGAAAATACAGCTCTGCTTTTTTTATTTAGTAGTGTTGCAATTAGTTAGAGCTGGCAAAAAAAAAAGCAATCCTCTGAGTTTAGGGATTCTCACAAAAAGGACAACAGTTTATTATATACATAGTTTTGATGTGCAAGTATGCAATCAATATGTACACTTACATTCCTAACTGTTTACATCATTCTAGAGTATTCACAGTAGAATCAAGCTTAAGGTTAGAAATGTGAAAAGGCCATAACAGTGAAAGAAAAAAAAAACTCAAGATATGCCTTGGGATTTTAAGACATTTTGAACTACTACTTAATAGATTTCAAATGACTAGGTTAGAATTTAATTTGGGAGCAGGCTGAAAATATAGCTGTTTTTAAATAGATGGTAATGCCAGTTTGCCTTTAAATGGTTTCACAGACGCCAGAATTACCACAAGCGTTTGTTTAATCAGTCCTCAGATTTAAGCAATAGTGCTGCTGCTGCAACCCTCCCCACGTTCTGTAAGTGACTCTGTCACAATTTTGCATATTTATAAGCATTCCCATAGCTATTTTGCTCTTATACAAGGAATCTTAGTGCTATTTTTCTTAAACAACACTATTTTATGTGGCCATATCCACTGCTCGCTGTTCATAAGAGGTGTAAAAGAGAATATATGCAGCTGAGGATTTCACAGATGATGCTGAGATCTCAGATACTTCATGGTCATCAAACTTAAACCAACGTTGTTTTGCAGCATTTTTGCAGTAGGCTGTATAGTGTCCTCCATCCAACCCACCATAGTGATTCTGTAAAACAAAAAGAAAATAATTTATGGCCTTGAAAGCTGCCATTTGTTCCCTGGTTAGGATAAGAAACTGGAATATGAGATTTCTGACAAAATACCAAACTATCTTAGGCCTGCAATTTTGTCTGCAACCAGGTAGGTGCCTTGAAACCCAGACAATCATACAAACTGACATAAAGACCAGGTAAATTTTGGAGTGTGACACGATTACTTACTGATACTGAAAATAGATTGTATCTCTTCAGGCTGTTCTTTGGACCAATAACATACTGCGACAGGTCAAGAGTTTCCAAGGGGAAATCTACAGATGTTTGAAGCTTTTGCTTCCATCTTCCATCATAGGAAAATCTATTGAGTTAAAAAGCATTATTGTAAGTTACAGGTTTTCCACAATCTATCCGAGAATGCTAAGCTGAGTTCATTTTCTCTGTTTTTAACCTGGTCATAATCCCAATTTAGGCTGAAACAGTCAGAGAGAACTTTGCCCACAGTTCTGTTAATACTTGCACACGTATGTTTCTTACTACAGGAAATTTAAAAGGCTACTAGAAGTATTCTGTGAATGACAGTCCAGCAAAACAGGCATCAGGTGAAAATGAAAATTCTTGCAGCATTACAGATGGATACACAATGTATAAGTTTCTCTAGTTAACATGTTTAGCAATTGCATTGCAGCAATCTCCAGGAAAGCCTAGTCACCTCATTCTAGTGCCCTGGTCACCACTCCATGCCATACCTTTTCAAATGCACAAGAAGAACAGGTGGTAGTTTCCAAATTTCTATTTTTTTCAAAGAATCCCTTCGAGTTTTGCAATGGCTACAGTAAAATCTGTTGTTATCCGTGAGCTTTTCCTCCTTGGAGAACAACCTAAGGCATTCCTAAAGCAACACAGAGCAAACATTGTAAAGGGCAGGTGTTCCAGGAAGTACGGCACAAACGTGTTCTCTGCTTTGCAAAGATGAGGAAGGCTGAGGTAGCTGCACGTGCACAAGTAGATTTTAGTGCATACCTTAATCAGGCACAAGTTTTCCAAAATGTACTAACAATGTTTTGTATAAAACAAACAAACAAACAAAAAACCCAAACATTTATACTCTGACCTACAAAGACAATTACTGTATGTATTAAGTCTTTTTTGTCATTGTGACTTAAGGATTTCCATGCTGCTTGTATTTTAAAACTTTTAAGAAATGTCTTTTAACTTTAGGAGAAATGAAAAAAAAACATAAAGGAAGGCATATTCATGTTTTAGATTAGTGTAAATTAAGCTGGACATATTGACAAACTCTTTCAACAAGAGATGGAACAGAACCAGCATCATAACATTGTGAAAATAAATGTTTTTCCTGTGAAAGCTGTTTCTCTCATGTGCCACCTTACCTGCAGCGTACATTTACTAGTGGATGCAAGTGGTAATGACAAATACATGAATGCCTCAAATGTCCGGGACTTCTTGTGACATGTAAGACACTGCACTGTGGATTTGAACTGGCCTTGAAAGAGTGCAACGATAATGGACTCATTGAGCTGTTTGTGTTTGTGCCAAGCCAGCTCCGCTGCTCTGAAGTCATCAAGATGATCGTTGTTTTCCTCCTTGTGTCTCTTCCTGTTGTCTGCCTGAATAACAGAAACTTAAATAACTTTTTTTGTATGTTAACATGTGATAAAGATGTCAAAGATAGGCGTTTTTTTCCCCCCACCGCACAGATAAAGTAAACTGCTACCTCTTCTCTCTCTTACTATCCCTTTATTCTATAAACCACAGCATCTTTGGATTCAGCCTCTTCGACTGCTTGGCCTGGAGTAGCACTAAAGCTTCCCTCTACAGGGGACTCCTGGCAGGTGATGCAGAAATGAGTAGACATCAACACCTCCAATTGTACATAACAGAGGGAAAGGAAGTTCCCATTTTAGAAACTCTGGGACCTCCCGGACAGAGGGAGGTCAAGGAAACAGGACTTGGCCTCTGAACAGCACTAGAGAAGGTAAAGCCAGCAGAAATGCTTGTTCAAGCATACCCAGAAGCCGGCTTAAAAAAAAAAAATTAAATCTTTTTGCCTTAGCATAAAACTTTTTTACTTAATTCCCCTTATGAAGTAAAAAACTTTTAACATTTCTCTCAATCATTTGACAGGTGTATAAATAATTTTAAGTGTATTACTTACTTTATTTAGGTCTTCATGCAAGCCATCCATTAGAAAGAGAAGCAGTTCTTGGGAGTCCTGCTGGCTATATCCTGCAAATTGGTCATTAATTTTCCCTATTGTAATTTTAAAATCTTTTGGACTGATATATTTATACTGTCCTGTCCACAAAGCTTTCATTATTACACCAAACTCTTCAGCCACTTCACCTTTATGCCCCAGGAAGTTTGACCTGTACAATTAAACAGAGGTAATATATAGTGAGGCATTCAAATAAGATTGTTATTAATTCAAAACTTTAGCCCAATTTTAGTGTAATTTCTTTGCACCCAGAATAACTACCTGTACGACTGAACCACAATTCACAATTTTTTTTATATAATTTACACAGTTCCATTTACAATTAGTTCCATATTCAAAACTGGGTTGGTGGAAAGAACAAGTATTTTCAGCTTGTTTTGTAAGCTGCTTTCACGTGTTTTGTCTGAATCAGAAGACTCAATGGGGTGAGCATAATTTAAGTCAGCTTGTCTAGTCTAGCTCATCTGGTCCCACACCTGAACTCGAGGAAACTCACAGATTTGAAATTAGTGTTTTCTTTCTTAAAACGCTAGGTCCGTTACAATCACTAATATAAAAAAAATGTAAAGACATTCTTCAATTATAAATTAAAACAGAAGAAATTGTTACCTGTTAATATCATCTTGATACAAGTTTCTGTTAAAATAATCAGCCAGATGTGGTGCGTTGCACAAACACTGTAATATGGAATTCATATAGCAAGTGTTCCCTAGATTACGAAGTCCAGTCAGAGCTGGTCCCGATCCCCCAAACACAGGATTGAGATTCCGAATTTGTAACGCAGAGAGTCTTGAAATTTCAGGTTTAGTGTAACAGACCGGTCTGTAAGGAAGAAATGATGTTTTGTTACTTCTCTGAGACTGGGCACCGTACAAGGCACAGCGTAGCGCTCCATCGGCCGTGCGGCACCGAGCTGTCTTACAGACAGCCTTCCCCTTCGACGCTCTGGGAAGGAGCCTGTTTCAGAGGCTGGCAGTGAGCAGCAGGCCAGCAGCACGCCGTGTGTCACTTCACAGTCTTCTCCAGCCAAGCAGTACCAAGGGCCTCTGAGGAGATCCCTGTTTCTGCGAGTGGTGGTCTCGCAGCAGCAATGGACACAGAAAAGCAAGACTGTGTGCACGGAGCTTAACAGGACAAAACTTAACTCTCCCTTATCCCCTTAACGGGATATGAGGTATTCTGTCACAGGAATTCACCAAATCCATCATTTAAGGTATTCAAGACTAATCAATGCAATAATGAGAAATGCATGCATACTGGCCTATAAGAAAGCTGAATTACAGAGTAAAATTATTTCTTTCTAAATTCATAGATGAAAAATTAATGTAGTTGATTTAACTACTCAGTTTAAAACTGAAACTCTTAATTTCACAAGTTGTCAGAAGCCTTGACACAAATACTACCACAGGAAGCAACTATTGGCCAGTTAACACTGTGACCTCCAAAGTTCATATAACTGGATGATAACTGGAATCTCGGCAGCACATTCCTCTCTGAACTTGCAACAATGCAAGTCTGTCAGCAAAACTCTTGCATGCCTTTGTAAAGTACTTAGAAAATATTAACGGATAATTTTGGATAAAGACAAACTCTTAAAATCTGGCAGAGTGCACAGACTGTAATACTGTAACTTATCAAACCTACTTATTTTCACGGTTGACTGTAGGGGTTACAGGAATTCGCTTCTTCTCTTCCTCCTGAACGGCTTGGGTTATATCCGGGGAGGAATAGGAGCGCTTCAGTTTGGAGTGTTCTCTTTCCCGTTCAGCAGTCACCTGGGGCTTGGGCTTATGGGTTGGCGGGGTAGCTGGAGGAGTGGATGAAGGAGCCATTTCTGGTGGATACATATGAACAGTGTTTGTTGGCGAGTGATAATATCGAAAGGTTCCAGTGATTGGATCCAGAAACTTGGGGAAAAAAAAAACAAATTGTTTCAAAGACAGGTTCAAAAAAAAATAATCAACTTGCTTACCTAGGTATGAGCTACTGTAAGAACTTCAAACACTGAGATGTTACAGTAGTGACAGACTCAATGCTTAATAGATTAAGTTTAGTGGAAGATCACTTATACCAAAATAAACAAGCAACAGCTCGGTATAAAAAGCTAGAGATGAACTCCACTTGTTTATTTAAAAATTATTGTTAGGATTCAGAAAATAACTGGGAAAGTTTAAGAGAAGAAATCAAACAAGATTAGATCAAACTTAGAAATATGACGTAACTAAAATTCACTACAAAATTGCACAAATTTCAGAATAGAAAGTTACCTTTGCCCAACCTGGAGGCAGTCCTGGTATTATCCTTCCCATTTCCTCACTTCGTGCTCTCATTAATGGCTCCCGCTGAGACTAGTAAATGCAATGGAAATGTAAGGTATGTACAGTTAGTTATGCAGAGGAACAATCTGTATGCAACTTCTCTTGTGGTTCAATGATTTTACAAAAACAGTTCAATAAAAAGTCCTTGATTACAGCTAGAAATGTGACTTATTTTTCAACAACAATATGGTAGTAAGTACCTTCCCTAAAGCAGCCACTTTATTAGGAATACATGCTTGCATTAGGAGGATGATCTTGGGGGATGCAAGGAAGTATGAATGAGATGATGAACACATGTGGAATACTTGTTAATACCCATCAAAAACATATAATGATTTCCACTGAAAGTTTCAAATACATTTTTTGAAAATGAATGACAAATGTAAAAAGCAAATGCAAGTGTAGAATATCGCACTGTCTTTTCCTAAGGAGGAGACATGTGAACATTAAAATGAGATGAAATTTAGCATGAGATAATAAAGCATCTATATTTTGTATGTTTTTCGCTACATACAACACATTGCATTTACTTTAAGTCTTTCAGTATCTTGTTCAGAATCCTCTCTAATGGCTCCTGGTTCTGGTTCTCCTTTAACCCCAGTTTGCTGTAAAAGATTTTGAGAGAAGGCTTTCAAATTTCATGTGGGATGTCAGTAAACAAGGCCAAGAAAGCAAAATTGGGAAAAAGCAGAGTTACATTTTGCTGCTGCTGCTGTTAAATTCACCTGCTCTTGGTATGTACAAATAAACTAATCATTTTTAATTTTTCTATATAACAAGTCTTTGGAATAGCCTTTATAGATGAATTTTGTGTTCTCTCCACAATTTTGTGTCACTCTCTACAATAAAAACGGTGGATTTTAAAATGTATTTAAATATAAGACTGGACTTCATAAGCAGCCCCTTCTTCCACAATCACTTGAGTATTTTATAGCTACAGAATTTGGAAATTCTTCATGGGTCTGAGGAAAGAAGGAAATGTGACTTCAGAAGATTTGGAACTTGGCTGCTCTTAACCAATACTAGATTAGGGTATCACTCTGCTTCCATGCAAGTCAACGAAATAATCCCTCTGTGTATCACTGTTTAGGCATTAGAGAACTTGATATGATAATATGATTTGATCCTTTGCTAGAATGTGTTACAATAATAGAGCATATACTAGGGCTGACACAAGAGACTGTATGTTAACCACCTCTCTACAGTTGACACAAAAAGTAGCAGCCCATGGGCCATTCCTTCTATTTCCACATCTGTGGAAAGTGTTTTTTTTTTTTTTTTTTAATCCTATGGGAATCCTATACTGTCCACCTACAGCCAGACTCAAAGTGCTCTAAGCTGTCTGTAAAAATCTACCCCGTTGGGTATTGTTTCCAACTTTCCCCTCTATTTATGTAAAAATGGCAGGCCTAAATAAAATTCAAGTATATTTAAAGTTTCCAGCTTTATACTATGTTACTCCAAGGTACATTCACAAATCATACTGAATAATTACTTAAAGTTTGATGATGATTTTTTTTTTCTTACTAACCTTGCCTGAGGTGGTCCCAAAGGTCTGAGATGCATCACCCAGTGCACCTCTCTGCATTTCTGGTGTTCTGGTTCCCTTTTCTCTTTCATCCATAGATATTTTTTCAATCTCAATACTTTTCAAATCAATACTTTCCGGTTCATTTTTATTTTGCTTTTTTGCTTCTATTGCTTCTTTCTGTGCTCGCTCTTTTTCTTTTTCCTCTTTTTCTCTTTTTATCTGCTCTTCCCTGTCTTTTTGTTCTCTATGCTCTTTGGCTTGTTGTAGCTTTTCTTTGTATTCCTTTTCTTTCTTCTCTTCCTTTGCTTTTTGTTCCTGTTGTTCTTTTTCTTGCTTGAGTTTTTCTTTCTGTTCTTCTTGCTGCCTCTCCCTCAGTTCCTTTTCCCGCTTGTTCTTCTCTAACATGGCAGCAGTTTCTGCATGTATGCGACTCTTTTCCTCCTCTGTCAGAATGTTCTTTGCATCATGCAGAGGCTTGGTGGACCGGTCTGGAATGACTCGCCCGTTCTCAACAGGCTGGCTGTCAGGGACTGTACTCTCAGCTTTTGGTCTGTTATCATCAGGCTGCTTCAGTGAAGGCTTTTTAGTGCGATCAACCTGTAGCACCAAGTGTGGAACAACACGTTCACTGTTACTGCTCTGCTAGCTAGACTATTTCTAAGTGAGATTTGTGAGAGATTAAATATGATATCAACTCTACCTCTGCCACAGAGATAATGAACTTTCAACTTCAGCAAATTTTATCATTCAGATTCCTTATTAAGGAAATTAAGTATTCACTTTATTTTCAGCTATGAGGTAAGAGCTAACAAGCTCTACAAAATCATAAGGATGGTATTAAGCACTCATTACTACAACTCAGTCTTTATTTTCAAGCTTTCAAAAATGAACCTTTTAGGGCAATCAAGACTCCCTAATTGGGGTGTGGTGTTCTCAATCATATGACACAGCAAATGATTAAGGCTTCATGAGGAGAGGTATTTAAGAACAGCTGATGGTCAGACCTAAATCAGCAGGTTGTGTTGATAGTGAAAGGGAAGATCTAGTTCAGGGAAGAGAAGAGCTAAGACTAGAGATACGATCATTTTCACAGGTTAGGGTGCCTCAGCTTAAAATCTTAACTTAGAGGAAGCATCTAAAGGATGTTTCTTCCCCAGGAAAACAAATCACTTTAGTATAAGCATTTTACCAAGTTTTTTTGTTTTGTAAAGAAAGCTTGTTTCCTGTAAAGGGGAGAAACAAGCAGGGGAATGGTTCAGCATACAAGGGGAGTAGCGTTAGTATAAGCATTTTACCAAGTTTTTTGTTTTGTAAAGAAAGTTTGTTTCCTGTAAAGAGGAGAAACAAGGAGGGGAATGGTTCATCATACAAGGGGAGTAGCAAGAGACTACCTAGAATGTTTCAGGAAAATGGGCCTTGGAACAACCAAGGTAAGACTTCTTTTCTGCCTATTTCATAGCATGTATACTCTAAGTAGGTTAGTTTGTTTACAGAGTTTCTGAACCAGTGAGTAATTGTTGACCCTCAATTTCTCAGCCATCCATGACAAAATCTTCATTGAAAACTCTACAAGTATGTTAAATATGTCCAGCTTAATCCAGCTCTGTGCATTACTTACTGTAGTTTCATAGACCATCAGCAGTCTCTGCACTGTTGTACTTGCATAATGCAGTATCTGGAAAGATGGTTACTGAAAATATTTCTCTATGAATTTAGGCTTCTATGATTAGTGACTCTCCAGTGGCTTAGCATTACACTAGCATTGACTTTAAAAAAAACACAGCTTACCTCAGGGATACTTCTTGTAATTGGTACCGGATTAACTCCAGATAAGATGTCAGATTTGGGAATAGTTGCAGCCTGTACCCTTGGTCTGTTAAGAGATTTTAGTCTCTCTTCCAAGTTACTTCCTGTTTCTTCATTCTCAGTTATTTCTATTGGAGTTGGCTTTACAGCAGCAACAGGTGGAACAGGAGCTGACTCTTCCAGAGATGGATAAGTAAAATCCACTAGAGAGAGAAAAAGGCAAGAACACAGCTATCACAAATATACTTGAGCAAATTAAAGTTACAAATTAAAGTATGAATGTTGGCAGAAGAGTCATTCTTTATACTTACAAGAAACGGTCACTGCCTCTCTCCTGCCATGCTGCGGTGGAGTTACTTTAGCATTTGTGGTGTACTGGGGAAAACAAAGGAGCCAGTTTTCATAGCCTCCTTCTAGGATTAAAGGTTCGTTCTGCAGTAGAGGCTGGCTTTCCCACTTCAAGGAAAAAGGTTGAGATTAAGTGATTAAAAAAAAAAAAGGCAAAGAAACTTTTTAACCCTAACTCGTAGAAGTTTCTGTATCTAGTGATCACAAAGAGAGTGGTTCAGGTGAGCAGCTCTGCAGAGAAGGACCTGGGTGTCATGGTGGAGGACAAGTTGACCATGAGGCAGCAGGTGCCCTCAGGGCCAAGAAGGCCAATGGGATCCTG